CCTATTTGTTCAAGCAAATACATTACATCTTTTAAAAATGGGGGTAATTTTACCTTATTATAACCTCCTAGGAAATGAAACTAAGTTAGTAAGGCAACATATTACTATAATATTGAGTAACAATTACATCTGTTTGATTGATATGGAAAAAAATCCTTCAAATTTTCATTAAAAAATAAAAAAAGGTATGGCAAATGTCCTATAATGCAGACACTGAGGTGTTCAGATCCAATATCAGTAAGGATGTGTTCCCTTCCCTGTCAGGGGACCATTACTGGCATGGTATATGGAATCACAAAAAGGATACTGCAGTGTTTTTTTCTTTATCTAAACTACTACCCTAAAACGGTACTGTTCCCAATAGAAAATAGACATTGAAATTCCCAATTTCCAATGTTTAAATTCCCAAAATGGCTGTTCAAAATAACCACAAGGCCAAGTGATTTCTCTGAAATCATTTAAATTCAACATATTCACATGAATCACCACTCAAAAGTTCTCCCTGGACAGTGGAAAGCTGTTAGCTATCTATATTCATGATGACTAATCTTATTTCTAGCTGAAAAATGCTTTAAATAAAAAAAATCCCAATTTCAGTCAAAATAATGCATTTTTTCCCAATCAGTCTGGTACCGGCACCATTCCCAAAGTAGAGGAAAAAAAACACTTGTACTGTAGAAAACTGATTTTTTCATTTCTACAGCTAAGAACTGTTCACTATTGAGGGGAGGAGTATGCAAGCGGACTGATAGCTTTAGCCGGTAGTCAGCTTCGACACTGTATTCAAGGGGTCCCGGGCTCAAGTCCCAGTCAGGCTGCATATTTAAAGTGTGACTTTACAGCAATGTTTGTATAACACTAATGACCTCATGTCAATTATATGCACAGATGTGCAATACCATATTTACGGAGTGGCAAAATTGGCACCAGTGTGTGATAAAGCATTATATTATCACACACCAGTGCGGATTTTGCGACTCCGTAAATATGGTATTGTACGGTCCGTGCATATATTTTTGATGTGACGTCATTAGCGTTATACAAACATAGTGTAAAGACGTGCTAAATGTTAGCGTTAAACTATAGGCGCGTCATAGAAAAATGACTCTGATTTCACTTTAAACGGTCTTTATTTTTAGTATTGTGTTAAATAGAAATATTAAATATTAAATTTGTGTATGTTCATTACTGAATTTATTGCACTCATTGAATAAAGTAAATCATGTAAATATTATGCTCACCAGAGGTCGCATAATATAATTTTATTCAACTTTGTGCAATAAATTCAGCGTTGAACTTACACTCATTCAATATCCTCTTTTTAATATATATTAAGCGCACGTCAATAAATTTCAATTTTAATTGATATGAAAATATTTTCTGTTGCGCTGTCTTTGTATACTGGTCGGAGACCATCAAACCGGACACTTTTGGAACATTTGCCAGTACAGAGTTCATAATTTTTAACCTAGAGACCAAAAAAATTGACACAGTTCAGCTAGGTTCTTCTCCTAACTAACAAACTAGTTTTTTATTTCTGATTGTATTGACACTTACATCTGAGGCTCGACAAGGAGGGTATCAAAATTACCTAAATTGTCAACACTACAGTACCATGTGTCCGGACAGCTATGTGCATGATATGATTTAATTTCAGATAAAAGCTTGGGTGTTTTGATTTTTGATTTGTAACATGATATACAGTATGTCAGCAACAAATGCTGAACTTTTGGATATTCTATTATTCACTCTGCGAATGATTATAGCTGGTATATGAGGTCAGGCATTGCTTTCTTTACCCCCGAATTTCAACGTCAACATTCTTGAAATATAAATTTAAAATATTACCATTTACGGAGGTTGAAATACATTTATTTACTTAATTTTAAAAAGAAACATGCCACTTATTGTTGATAAAAAGTGACTGACAACCACCGAACAAAGAAAATACTAAATTAAGCATTTTCGAGGGCCGTCCGGATTCAGTGGTTTGTCCGGTTTTTGTGGTCCCCAACCACGTATCCAATAAAACTTTACATCACAACCGGTTTCCTTATTTTCCTCATTTTTTTTCCTCTCGACTACTGTTTCAGACCTAAATTAAAATTGCGTTCTTAATATTTTATATTTATTATATATTTAGAAATGAAATATTGAGAAATATTGATGAAATAAAATGCATATTTTCATTTTCCGCATTTTCGCCATAAACATTTCTTTTTTCACTGCAGTGAAAACATATTTTCTAAATTCAGTCAATACACAAAATTTAAGGGGAATTCTTCTAATTGTAATGTCTAAAAAGAGAAAAATGTATATAACAAACAGAAAATTCAAGTTTTTTCTATAAATACATGATTTTTTTTCATCTTGTGGCATGAAAATTAACATATTTCACTCGTGGCTACCGCCACTCATGAAATATTTATTTTCATACCACTCGATGAAAATAAATCATGTATTTATAGACAAAACTTGAATATCCTCTATATACTCATATATTGTAATGCCCTAGAAATTTTACCTTTTTTTGTGATTTCACTGGATTTCAGCTGTTCAGTAGACTGTTTATTTCTACTTTCACTTTCGTTTTGAGAAGATTTTACTGGCGACAAGACAAGATAAATCATGCGGTGTCCTAATGAAACATACAGGACATCAACTTAAATCTACGTATTGTGCCAGCAATTAAATCATTCCTGATTCTGGGAAGCTTTTCCCTTAATGTTATCCATTTCCCTTAATGTTTTCCGTGGTAGAATCCTGTGTTTTTAATCTGTTTTCGTGACTTCTGTCAAAATAGTTTATTCCTTTATTTTACACTCAAGATTATATAGTTCGATTTTGTTTATGATGCAGCCTCACTTAAAATATAGATATGCCTCATAAATCCATCTGAATTTAATTGTTTAGCACTGTATATTTATAAAAAATTTGCAATGCATAATTCAATGTCGGCCATGTTGGACTATTACGTAGAGATTACGTAGTGAATGCAAGGATAGTTCTTTATTTGATTGCGCATAAAAAGGAACACGTTATTCCTAACTATTTTACTTTCGATATTAGCGCACGATAGCTTATAATATTTCTAAAAATCATTTTTTGAGGCTGTGACAAAAATTAATTTCGGTGCTAGGTTGAGTGCATTTCAGTTCTTACATAAACTCGTTTAAAATACATTTCTAGCTACCATACTGTACAGTAACAGTATAGATCTATATGATAATCAAAATTTATCGCTATAAACGATCTACATGTAGCTAAAGTTGTTAAAAACCTAAAATGATTACGATGTTTTAATAAAGGTTTAGAAACGTTTTCATTTTGCGTGCGTTTTAGCGTGCGTATATCGTTTAGCGTATTTCGTTTAGCGTATATCGTTTTGCGTGCGTCTGCGTATTTCGTTTCGTTTTGCGTGCGTATAACGTGCGTTCGTATAGCGTGTAACGTGCGTTCGTATAGCGTGTAACGTGCGTTTTGCGTGTAAACTGACACGTTCACCCTACTGTAGTTATTTATATTTACTTATTTTCATAGATTTATGAACATGCGTACATATTTGTCATATACCAATAAACTGTAAATATTTGTCATAAATCTATATGTACACGTACATATTTGTCATATACTATTATACTGTACATATTTTGTCATAAATCTATATACACGTAAATATTTGTCATATACCAATATACTGTACATATTTGTCATAAATCTATATGTACACGTAAATATTTGTCATATACCAATATACTGTACATATTTGTCATAAATCTATATGTACACGTAAATATTTGTCATATACCAATATACTGTACATATTTGTCATAAATCTATATGCACACGTAAATATTTGTCATATACCAATATACGGTACACATTTTGTCATAAATCTATATACACGTAAATATTTGTCATAATTTATAGTTACATTATTAGTTATAAAGATTGTTGACAGGTTATATGGCCCTATATTAACGGCTGTTTGTAAATATAACCCGAGCCGCTAGGCGAGGGTTATATTGCAAACAGCCGTTTATATACGGCCATATAACCTATCATCAATCTTTATAACGAATTTATAATACAGCAAACACCATTTTTTAGAGAAAAAAGTAAGATTTCTTCATGAGTCGACAACAGCCGTGTATATAAAACTATATAAACGTCACGATTATCCAATGAAAAGCGTCGTTACAAACGTGCAGTATTATAAATATGTATATATTTGTCATATTGTTTGATACATTTTTGTCATATAATTATATACGTTTGTAACATATTTGTCATAAATGAATATACATGCACATATTTGTCATATAGTCATATACATGTATATAATTGTCATATAGAAAGTTATATACATACACATATCAATACTTCAAAAACATATTTCATAAGACATTAGGATATATATATATAAATGTTTATTCTTTCGAAAATTTTCCCTTATACTTTGTAATCTGTTTTAATACTGTAAATACCAACCCCTACATTAGTTTGTAACCAAAGGTTTTAGTCTAACGAACATTTTTATATTTAGTATAAAATTTAAATTATTGTTATTAAGTTACTACAAAAGGGAACAATATATATGAGTAGAGGTTAGCAGTCTAATACAAAAATCAGTGACTATTTTTTTTCTTCAATGAATGATCAAATAAATTGAAATATATGCGTAAAATTGTTCATTTCCATTTACTCTACCACACAAAATAAATGTTCATACAAATTAAAAATTGTGAGTGATTAAAATAAACTTCGAAGACAATTCGTTAATTACTTTAATTACAATGTGTAATAATTTTATATCAATGAATTGTTATAACTGTAATCTTGATATATTTTTATAACATTGTAATAATGATGAAATAAAAAAGTTATATTGTATGTAAAACTATTTCATTTCGGTATCAGAACAACACAAATATACACAAACGTGTCCCTTTAATTTAAAGATAACAGTAGGGCAATGATAGATAACATGTTAAATTTACCTTGTCCAAGTCTTAAACCAAACAATCCGTCTACATTTATAGCACTGTAATCATCCGAAAAAAACTTCAATGCCTTTTCAACCGACTCTAACACATCAAACAGCACATTGTCCACCGGGGGTACCGACGAACCGACGGCAAATCGACCAGTAAACAAGAAAGTCAAAAATAATATCCGCATACTTCAATACTGTTCCGGCTTGTACGTAGTTTACAAACACGTCACACCGTGAATGACCTAATCGCTTATCAGTAGAAGATTGGTCCCGACCGTAGTGCAAATAATTTTGTCTAACTTTTAAATATGTAACACAATATCTTGTGTCAAAGTTTGAAAACTATATGGTTTTATATTCTATGAATTTAAATCTGTCTATATATTCCATGTTAGATTATTTAAAAAATGATCACTTTTATAGAGGTTTGAAAGTTTTATGGTGAAGAAGCGTTAGCCCCAGCGGTAATAATACATTAGGATATTCCGATACGAAATAATCCTTATTTAAATCCAACATGATTTAATTTTTCAGTTTCTATTTCTGTCGATGTTCCGCAGCGGTTTGGGAATTCCGTATACAAATTGTATGAGCAAACCAATACTTTGTGCGCGTTGGCAATCATGATGCACTTTGACAGTAGCTGCTTTTTGTACTACATTCGCTGACCATATCAAATGCAAGGAAGAGTACTCAAAGAACGAATTTATTTTATAGCAAAATGACTTTCCTTTAAGGCATCATTAGATTCTAAAAAGAGACAAAAAACGTGTCTCGTTTGTGTCAATTTGTAAATATACTATAGAATAATCTTTCCAGAACTACATTTTTTTTCTTATTCTGTGAATGTCTGTTGCATAGATTCGACTGTGACAAAAATTGTATAAAGCGGAAAAGTCATTTTGTAGATCATCAGTGTTTCTGTGATTGCATAAAGCAAAACTGCACGAGATCTACGAGGAGTGTTCAAATATGGATGCATCTATAAATAGAACGTAATCTCGCCAAATAACGAGAAAATTATGAGGAAACCACACAAATTGACATATAAAGGTTTAAATTAATACCACACTAATTATAGTGTACGTTCTATTGAGCACTTTTAACGCCATCGAAATTAGTTTATACATAATTTAGTTCATTACAAATGTGTTGGAAGCTATAAACTGTTTGAAAAAACTTTCGAATCCGTTCGTGAAACCAATCCTTACTAAGCAATGAGCGTAAAGTTTCTTGTTCAAGGTAATAAAGCCTCTTGCCCATGACGGGGTTTGAACCAACTCAGCCAGCATCCCTTGAGTTACAAATCAGACGCGTTACCACTCGGCCATACTATACGGTCTTATGTTAATATTTTAGTCTTGGTATAGGGTTTAAAGAAATTTATGATGAAATATGTTCTGTTGTAAGGCACAATGAGGTGTGTTCTCTTTTGGACAAAACTGTTTGTCACATCATATATAAGTAGGAATAGACCTGAAAAAGTCTGAATTACCAGTATGGACTGGTAATCTAGTGGTCTCCGCTAACTATACTTATTGTATGCATCCTTTGGCAAAATTGACATATCTTTAAAAGTACAATGCAATACGACATTTAGTTGGCAAACACTTAAATGATATTGAATTTTCTGGATGCTAAAATTTTTTTTCATACTTTTGTTATATCTAACACTTAATACTATCAATATTATTATTTATTGTGTTATAGACCTTCCATTATAGACCAATTCACTTTAATATGAAGCAACTTATCAATTCAATACACATCTATATTTCATATATCCATTCATTTTCCCTACCTTTAATTATTTTTAATCATCGTTGAGTACCGCGTTTGCACCTGACAAATATTCTTAGTTACCAATTATTGTGTTTAAATTGATAATTTTCTCCTAAGTGTTTAAGTATGGTGGTGTTTTGTAAAAGTGTGTTTTTTTGTGTGAGAGAAACTAATGCGAATTATTTTATTGTAATGTTTTGGTGACATTTCCAGCACATTTCCAGCAAAGTGACATTTACGAATTCAAGTCATAAGCCGGCATGACGTTTTATTTTGTTGTGCAATCCTCAGAAGACTTGGAACATATGAGAATACAATTAATTATGGAAAATAGACACGACATAAAAAGAGAGCTGATCTTTACATGTAACTGTTTTTATGTCGGATGACACATGTTTTCTTTTATCTAAATACGTAATGATAAATGTATTACGTTTCATCGGAATGGAATAATTGACATGCATGTTGAAAATAAAAGACTCATTAAGCAAAGATTTATGTTATTGTTAAAAAGGGTTGAAAAATAATTGTATGTTTTAAAACGGCCGTTCAGGGACATAATAATGTTTATTAAATGAATGAATAAATAGAATAAATAAATAAATAAATGAATAAAGGAGCAGCAACAACAACATTTTCATCAACTGCAACAACAACAACAACAGTAACGAAAGCAGCAACAGCAACTATATGACCGAGTAGGTAGGATTCTGACTGAACCCATGTTCACTCACCGCTGTGGGTTTGAGTCCGACGGGGGACGTTAGAGAAATTCTTTCATCCAGAAGGTCAGTGCATGAGAGATTATTTTGAGATGCCCATTCGTGCCAGGAATAATGCAAGTCTTGCACGAGAAGTCTTACGCTTATGTCAGGTTATTTTTACACATGACTAAATCTGACCGGAGCAATCCATAAACAACTACATATGTATAACAAAATTTTTTAATGATTATAATTATGACCATTATATTACTCAAAATGGTGTCATGGAGAAATGATATGCCCCTCGTTGATAAAAAGATCACCCGGGAAATATTCTCTTTGAAGACAATATTTGATCAAAACACATTATAGAACTTGAGGAGCTTTCTATTGAACGATATATTGACATATAATAATTAGAAATACTTATTGGTTATATTACATAGAAAACTGTTAAATAAAAGTTTAAAAGTCCTTCAACCATAACTTTCATCGTTATAAGGGATGCAAGTAGGTCTAAATAAACGTAAAAAAACCCCAGCAAAACAGATATAAAAATTATGAATACGCAAACCAAAAGTATAAATACATTTTTATTCATATATATAAAATATTATCAACACGAGTTGGTTTTTTACCCACTTTGACACTGTGATGCACATGACTGTGTCATTTTTAGAGCTGATTGTGGAACCGTTAAATGTCGCAACGCCGCCCGCTAAATGTCGCACTTGCCGCTTAATGTCGCACCATTGCCGCTAAATGTCGCAACCGCCGCTTAATGTCGCAAAATCATTTGCCGTTAAATGTCGCAATGTTAACGTTAAATGTCGCACGAATTTCCCTTACCGTTAAATGTCGCAACACTACCGTTAAATGTCGCAAGATGTAAATTCATGTTAAGGTAGACCATGGGTAATGGGCACCATAAGGAATAGTAAAATTGACAATTTAGGACAGTTATATGTCTTCAAGGTAACCTATATGCAAAATTTAAATAAAATTTACTATGTGGTTTATGAGTTATGCATATATTTCTGAACTAAGATTTTGCCATTAGAAGGGCTTATTTTCAGAAATGAGGAAACTCTAAATAATCTGTAATATCATCATTATAAAAAATGTTTTACTATTGCTCATTGTTAAGAAACAAATAATAACATTCAGGTAACAAATTACACAAGCAAAATGTTTGTTTCTAAACAAAATGTTCTTAATATGTATAAAAATGTTACCCTACCCCACCCACTTTAAACGCTATTTTTACCATTTCCCTATCTAAAGTGCCTTATTCAAAATATCCCTAAAATTAACCTTGATGAGGGGCTGTTTTCAAAGTTTGCCTTTATTTTCTTCAAGGTATATTGGTTGATCATGCGAAAAATAAAATACTTTTACCGTATAGTTTTTATTTTATTAAACTTTGAAAATATCTGGTATCATATTTGCTATAAATTTTGGCATTATTTAGCAAATAAATACCTACAATAATTATATTATTTAAATCAAATAAGGGATTAGTGAGATACATAAATAATGTTAAAAAGAAAAATATAGAAAGAAAAAAGTTGCCCCTTCTAGGGTTTGAACCCACGCCCCTCAATTTCAATGTAGTTGACAAGTGATTCTAGCCTATTTGAATACTCTTCAGAGTGTGGAGGTAATGCATTACCCATGGTCTGATTAAAGTAGTATTATATTACTTTTAA